CTCCTGATAACTGCTTGTCTTCAATGCGGTTGCTTTGAACAGCGGTTGCTCCTTTTTTGTGTTGTCTTTGTCTTCATTATTCTCAGGTTCGTAACGGCCGCAAGTTATGATGTTACACAAGCGTGATGGTTTTCCTGATACGGTAATTTCTCTATAGCTTACATAAAATGAAATATTGCCATAAAAATCCTTGTACATTTCCAGATTTGGACTTTCTGTGGCTGTCTTCTTCTTTTCAGCATGGTATGCCATTACTTCAACTAAAATTTCACATACACGACTTGGCGGCAATGCATTGGTTGCAAGTGTAGTTTCTAGGAGGAAGCACAATCCAGCAATAGCGTGCAAACCATAACTGGGTTTCGGATACATTTCTATGGGGAAGTCAAATGCCGCATCTACAGACGTAATATAAACTTTTCGTAAGAGTTCCAATAGATCGTTACTATCATCAACCAAACGCCGGTTTTCCTTATCGAGACCTCCTTGTGATAGCATACTAGTGCATGTGCTTAACGAAAATGTGAGGTATTTTTCTGGACCTTCTGAAAAAAATCTGAATTCGTCCGACAAACTCGCTTCTTCCTCCCTCGTTACTTCCAAAAAGCAATTCATATCTAACATTAATTTAAACTGATGCTGTTTCCAGACATCTGACTTTGCCAAATGAGAGTCTTGTGAAGCAAACACCATTGACATCGTCTTAAGTGAATATTCACAAATATTATCCAAACTGACAACTGTTAAATGATCACGTGGATTGACGTTTAATTCGTCCAATGCTTTGGACAGATACAATGAAATCGGGTGGTAGACATCGTATAGGTGAATAGAAACTGCAGTGCCCGATTCCAAGAGAGTTTTCGCGATATTTCTTTCTCCAACAGAAATTAAGGCGCGTGCTATCTTTCCTGAAAGTATCAAATCGGCGGCACAGAAATCATTTTCTCTGAAACCTTTGAGAATAATAGGGACATCAATCAAAACAAGATCTTCCATTTCTTCTTGTGCTTTTTGAACATTCCCTTGAGATACTAGGTATGATGCTATGGAACAGTGCACTGCTTTCAGAATCTTCTGACATCCCGGTAAGTTAGTAAATTTATCAAATGCAACATTCTCAATATCCTCCAAATAACTATGAGCAGCATTTTGACAAAATGCATCAATAAAGTTTATCAGGACTACGAGATAACAATAGCCTAACACATACGCCTTTTTTGTTCCGTAAGTTGAATCTGAGAAATTACATTTTTCATGTGAATTTGTTTCTTGATCGTCCTTGTCAGATAATTGATGATCTTGATCACGTGTCGAGACGTGCGGTGCTTGACATTCATGATCCCACTGAAAGTTCGGCTTTTCCCAAGATTCTTTTCTACGGTTATTTAAACAGTCAATGATACGTTCACCGTTGGTCTCTGACCAACAGGTTGTCCCCAGTGCTAAGTTATTGAACGGGATATTGATGAGTGAAATAGCACTGTCTGTTTCATTGTGTTTTAGGTGGGCACTAGCCAGATTATTTGCCACGATGTCATGTAAGCGCGTCTTGGGCATCATTTGGCAGAGTAAGTTTGGAAGATTTGATGCGCTAGGATTTTCTCCCATCATGACTTGTGCGCATCCCATGTTATTTCTAATAGCAACAACTACACGCAATAGGGGATCTTCCTTTACCGTTTCCAAAAAATTATTTGCAAAGGAGAAAAAATGGAAAGAAATTTCAAATAGACCCAATTCAAACGCATTTGTTCCAGCAATGAAGCATATCGCCAAAAATGGTTGGAGATCCCTAATAATCAGCAATATATAACCAAGTACTTTGCCACATTCAGTTGGGAAATTTCCTCTCTTTGATTGAATCTTATTAATTATTTTCCTTATTTCTTTAGTTTCTAATTCATCAGGATAAGAAAAAGAATCATAGTTTTTTATGATGCGGAAAATACTGCAGAATACTTCTTTGGCTTCGGAAATGCGATTTTTTTTACGCAAGGTAATACCTTCTTGGAGAAGTTTGAGGATTGAGTTAGGTATACTTTCAGAAGGACCGATAAACCCAACATCCATCTCAAGCACTTTGTAGGAAGCTTCCAACCAACCAGTAACAATTTCTTATTAACCTCCCGGTTCTGACATCTCGGTTTCTTTACAAGAAAGACATCTTTATGGTCTCGTTCTCAGATTTAGCTAAAAAATATGAAAATATAAACGTTAGAGTGGCTGGTGAGAAACTGTTAGCATAGGAAATCATAATGTTTTGAAAGTTCTTCGTAATTGTTTCGAAAGTTCTTCGTAATTCCACGAGGCAATCAATTTGAGAACTTTCAAAACATTACTCGTGACTATTAATTCCAAATTGTACGAGAGTTTGTGCGATTTTTTGTTTATGGTACATTCAGTGAAACACAATTTTATAAGTTGAAGCAAATAATTTGGTATATAGTCCATGTTCAGGAGAAATTGATAACATGTATTGAGAACAATGATGATGGTGCAACTTTTTGGAGAAAAATTATTTTAATTAAACTAAAACGTGAGAGTGATTCATGAAAACTATCATTTTGCGTGTTAAAAACATTTCACGCAGGAGATGTAACAAGCTTACCTCATAACACAAGCAGAACGAACTAACATTGACTATATGAAAGCGCAACATTGTTTTGTGCTGACTCGATTTGTGCTGACTCTGAATTTTTATTGCGTGACGTGTGTCAAATTACAACTATAAACGGAAAAAACGTAGTACGCAAAATATTCCTAATTTCCCCAGTCGAAATACTATTGAAAGTTAAGGAACAACATCTTACGGCCAAAAATGAGAAATTTCGAATAAATTATATCATTGACATTGTTGACTTAGACGACATCGAAAGTGTATTTTTATAACGCAACAACACTGTCGCAATAAAAATTGCGAAGAACTGGCGAACTATATTCGAGACAAATTCTCAGTATCAAAAAAGGATATATCGAAATCTGTATTTAAATACTTCGATCATAATAATATAAGCTAGTATATATTGATTATCGAGCTTTTTTCTTTTGTTTACATTGAATGTCAGACATCGGGCAACGTAGAAACGGGTTTTAAACACGCAATATTCTTTATTGAACACTTACGATGCTTGATATCATCGTTTGTTTGATGAACAGCTGTCAATCAAACATTGCATCATCTGTGTTGATTTATCTGCAAAAGAATAAAGCGTTGTTCAGTATTCGCCACCCTAGACAAAATTATGCTGACAAGCATTTTCGTCTCTCTAAGACACTGACGCGTCATCACATGACGCTTGAGTTGTTATCGTCGTTAACATCATTTCCTTGGCAGCCATTCGAAAGGGCACGAACCCAGATAGTAAAAATAATTTGCAAAACATATTGTTTTAATTGCATTCTTTTATTTTTTCTGCATGCATATTTAGCATTTTTTAAGTTGAATCTATATTAAAAACCTAAGAAATATGAACTATTCTTTAAAGCAAAAAAAAATGTTCAGCTTTTTTTCTAGAAAGGGTAAATTTTTTTAATCACATTTTTTTCATTTTTCATGATAAAATATTTCTTTCTCATCTTTACAATAAATATCATTTCCTTAATACATGTAATATAACACTCTATCAATTAACCAAAATATCAATTAATAATAAATGATTTCTTTTGGTTAAAGATTTAAAATCTCTCTACATAAGAATAACTGTGTAGTCAGTTATTGATCAATCAATTGACACATCTGACGTCAATGGTTTCAGCGTGACATCAGCCAATCAGTTACACATATTACAGTGTAACGAAATGAAAGAAAAGAACCTGTCTAACAGTGTAGAATAAGTCCTTTCCTTCGACGGCTTGTTTGGAAAAGGTAAGACAAATATGTCTCTTGCAAACATAACTGACAAACGAAAGGTCACTACCATATATAGCATAGAGCTTTATCAGCATTAGGGGTGCTTTTTCAAGGTTAAGGTGATGCAACATGCGTAGAAATCAAATATCTTCAAATGCCACCACATTCGAAAGATACACATGAAAGTTACATAAATATAAAACTTTACGAAGGTTCACTCAAGTATGTATTTGGACAAAACAGTTATCCATTGAGAGATAAATATCATTTCCTTTGAGTTCCTCCTAAAATTTTGTAAAACGGGATATACGAGGCAATTAGCATAATATTCCTTTTGTTTCCTTTTTGCTTACTTCATGGTTGGCAAATGAAGCATTTCTGATGCGCTTCAGTGTGTTTTTTTTCATTTGGACTGTTTTAACAGTCAGTGTCTCGACATAAAATACAAAAGGTCTTCCAAACTTAATGGACGTATAATATGCTAAAGATTGTATAAGGTTTAAGTGACTAACACTTTCTCAGAGTGGGTTAGAATATGCAACAGCTAATTTAAAACATTCACTTAAGCAAAACATTCTTGCTTCCCTTCGACTGTGATAAGACACATAAATGCAATGTCATGTCAGATGAAAGCAAAGTCACCTTACATTGATTTTTAAATGTGCTATTCATGGATTGCTTGCTCTGAACAAAACATGGTACATGTTTTCATAAATTATGAGATATTATGTACATACTGTGAAAGTTCTGGCTTCTTTTGATCAACAATGGATAATAATTAACATGAGATGAAAACTAAACTAACTTGCCATGATATTTGAATACACCTAAAGTGAAGGGTCAGCTTGGTCTCAACTACACTTGATAACTGTCTTTGTATATTACTGTAAGAATACCTTTTTTTAATTCTAAAATATATTTGATTTGTGGATGTAATTGTTTGATTTGGGTAATCAAAGAGGACATGGCAACATTTAACACACAAACAATCTAATCGCAAACCAGTTCCTAAAAGTTGAATTCTTCTATAAATAATTGCCAGAGATGTTCAATAATTATATCGATATCTAATAAAATGTAACAGAGTTTAATCTCTTATGTATGAGATTAATTGTATAAAATGTATGTATATATATAGTTTTCGTTTCATTAAATACTGTCTGATGAATGCGTAAGAATGAAACTCAGAGTCACAGCAAATCTTGCCTCTTTGTTGTTATATGTTATATATGTATAGCTTTCGTTTATGAAACAATTTAGTAAATCAATGGTGTGTTAAAGCTTATGTCTAGGCACACAAAATAATAATGCTGCATCCATGTAAACAATGTTCATTGTTGTACACGCAATAATATTATTCTTGAAGAGCGTAGGTGGATGCCTTATAATCAGGTCATATCTATTTTAATGAATGACGTCAATTCGGTTTTGAAGCTATATAAACACAAGAACATTCACTTGTTAGCTTCATTAATCCACTAAAATGGCCAGTACTGAAGCAATTTATGCAGCAAGTTATCAGGAAGTACGAATAACTACATAGGATTTACATGAGAGTAAATCTCAACAGTAGTTGGATTAGTAATCTTGAAAAGTGGAATAGCTAAATGCTGTGAGTAATTTTTTTATTCTTTCATTTTTGCTTGAGAAAATCTACAATCATATGGCAGATGTTTGTCATCGTCAAGTTGAGTAAATCTTCAACCAAATAACAAATTTTTGTCATAACTGTCAAGTTGATCAATCAGTTGAAAAAGTACCAAGTTGATACATTGATTACGAGAACACTTAAATTTAATTTTCTAACACTTAATCATTTAATTCTTTATAAGACTTTTTATCTAAAAAAGCAATTGGCTTTCTCTTTAGTTCAGGTTTGCTCTTGCATATCTTAAACTGTGGACCATGTTAGCATACAATAATAAGAATACAGAAGGCAAGACTTTATTCTAATTAATATTTATTTAGCATAATGTTTTCAGTCTTCTGACTGGCATTACTACTGACTATTTTTTTTAGTTTTATATTCTATAGAGTTCAGACAATGTCTGCACACAAAGTTAACCTTGATGTCTGTGTTGCATATCAAATTCGATCAGAATTGTAATTTTAAACCTAAAGCTATTACTTGTCAAGTTTTCTTATGATTAAAGTAGCTTTAATAAGATATCTAAGAAAGTTGTGTAAAAGTAGAACATGTGGAAAAGGATTGAAAATCATATTCATTAATCTTCTAGTCAGATATGAATACCAATCATGTGGAATGCTAACAATCACGCCATATTTGAATACACCGCATGGAAAAGGTCAAGCAAGCTAGGAAGCTTTATGATCCATAACTGGTTTTGACAAAATGATGAAAAATAAAATGCCCTAAGTTATCACTAGCATTCTAACTTTCCAATATTAAGTTTTATAATCAACGAATATCCAATAAAGTTTTAAAACAATTTTACAAGGAATTTTTGTTGATTTAGTCAGTATATCCTTAATGGCACTTTTCTGAAGCAAGGATAAATATGCAAAAATATCTTCAGCCGGTTCAGATATCTAGTAATTCTCTTCATTACAACATTAGATAGCTTTCTTACTTAAAAACAATATTCACAAATTCACATCCCTTTTGTGAGAAACAACAGCACTAGCATCTGATGCCATCCTATACACTGAAGGATGACTAGTAAATAACATGCAAGAGTACATGTATATGTCAAGGGACGTAGCCTAGTAGTATATATAGTCAATTTACGCACACGGAACTGTAACACACTGATACTTCACGTGTAAGCAAGTAAATTGGGGGTGCACGTTCTTGACGTCATGAAAGGGGGATACCTTTAAAAAGAGAGTAACAAATCAGCTACACATAGATGTATCTAAAGTACTTGGGACAACAGTGGGTAAGAAAAGGCCTTCGACTGCATTGAATGAGTGCATGGAGAGTGAGATTATAACAATATCAGGATTGAGTAGCTCCTTAGATAGTGGAATGCCTACAAACTGAATTCTGTGAGTCTAATTTTTTGTGTATGATCAATGTCTTATCTGAATTTATTGAGTTAACTCCACAAAAATACTTTAGAATGATAGTTTTGAACGCTGTAAAATAGAGCAATATATAACTTAAGAATATATCTTTTAAAACACATGTAATTGATGTTAATATTTTTCCTACACCTTTTAACATCGTCGAAAGACTGCTTAGAATCTGTTCGTCAAAATAATATTCCTTCAAGTGTAATGTGGGAGAAATTTATTATGTTCAAAGAATTTTAAGTTATATTTTGGTCAATGTGGGCCATAAAGAGTGTTCAAGAAATGCTTCTCTTTTCAAACTAAATGTAGTACGATGTTTTTCGATTATCATAGTATCCCTAAAACTGTTCAATAAATGTCGACCGACAGATAAATTTTATATAAAGCATGCTTGATCGAAGAGTTTAATTTAAAGTTATGCTTATCAGCATAGTTTATGCTTTTATGTGCGATTTTCCCATATCAAGCAGAAATTAAACGTTTAATGTTCTCGTATTTGGCAAAGGAATTTATTTCCTTAAACTGAAGACCAGCTACCCTGGTTCCAGAGGTTTCTCTGTGTAAAATATCTCTGATCTTCATCGAGCTGCGTGTAGCAGAGATACCTCTGGAACCAGGGTAAAGACCAGCACGGCCATCCCTCTTAACTTTCACTTTCACTTTCAATTAAATTAAGTTTAGGCTAGGTTAGCGTATTCTTCGTTATGAAGACTTCACACGGAAACTAAAAATCCCGGCTAGTTGAATCTTCCCAGCCTAACATCTTTGACAATGTCGGTAAGCTTATGTGCGCCCATAGTTTTCTATCGTTCCTTCTTTCGAATTCCTTTCCCTCAATTAAATGGGACTTAAAATTCTTGTTCACATCATAACACGTTCATACTTACAAAAAACATATTCTTCCTTTAAACTTGTGACAAATCTTCTGGTAGCATTCTGGCACACTATGAAGTTCCCCGAAACAGTCCTTACAGTGGAACTGTCGCGCGCTGATTGGCTGATAAAAGTGAGTCATTTTGATCCGTCTATGAGATCACGTGACCACACCTACCTTAAATCAATCATGATGAGATCAGGTTTATGTTGATAAAATGGCAAAGTCTCAAGTCCCAACTCTAAATACTTCAAAAATGACAGAAAATGTGATAAAATATTGATTTTTCTAAAGAAACGTTTGCAATAGAACTAGAAACCAAGCCTTGTAATAGTACTATTAAAATAGTACAATTCCTATTTCACAGACGGATGAAAATGACTCCAGCCTAGCTCCGTAATCACACATTTTTAGCTGTTCGATATGGATAGCTAGTGTACATTGTCCTGACACCATTACGTCTCATCACACGCGCTCACGATTTTTCGTTGTATGTCCTCTTTTAGGGCTCTCTTGGCGTCATAAAATGTTCAAAACTTTACAAAGGTATTCCAAGCTAAGTGTGTGGTTTTTAGCAATTTTTCGAAATATATTTCAACAAAAATAAGAGGAAATAAACATCTCCACCTGAGTTTGTCTAGGAATATACCCTCCATCTGACTGGTTTTTGACGCGATATGATTATTTATTTATTGATGTTCGCAAATTGTTGGTTGTCTGATAAGGGACCGTTTTTGAAACTTCCTCCCCTTCCATAGTCTCCTTCGCAGCCTACCCTTTTGTCGAGCTACCCCTTCCAAAAAGCATGCCCCTCTCCCCTCTCCCTAGTTGGATGCATTTTTTTTTTAAATGACCCACCCTCTTCGACGGACATTACTTACACAGTCTTAACTTATTGACACGACCAACACTCTTTTGATTTTTAAGAAATCTGTTGTATTGAATATACAAGTAATATAGAATAATAATTTAGCATGGACCCCCCTCTAACATGATTTTTGTTTAGCTACCCTCTCGAAACCACCGCCAGCCCCGGCCAAGCAGTAAGTCAAGCCGGCAATGGCAACGAACCTCAAAGATTGATTGTGTAGAAGAATACGGAACGATACCATCCGAATCAAATTATAATAACTTAACAAATAGAATTTGAAGTAAACGATTTATGAATATATTATTTTCGTTAAAATTTTATGAATTTAACCTCGGTTCTCGAGCCGGCGAGATGATAAATCCAAGTCTAGCCACAACTATGTAAAATTTGCGATCGTTGGGTAAATGCTGCCATACCACGTCTAGTAGCTTTACATCTGGACGATACCGAAATGCAAGTAAAATCACCGCAAGTGTCAAAAAACAATAAATGAATAACAACCCTAAGTAGTGAGTGAGTGAGTGAGTGACAGATTTGTCTCCCTCCGGACAATAACTCTTACCCAGAGCCCGCGCTTTTGGCATCCAGCGGACTGTCAATCTTCGAGTTAAAAATGAGCGGTCTAAAAGTACACCCAAGTGACCCCGAGGCAAATGAATGATCGAATCTTGACGCCGGGTCAAGAGACTCCATTTTACAGTTCCCGTCGCCGCCATGAAAGGTAGCCAAGCTTTCAGGTCCAGGCTCAACTCCTTGAACTCCTGTCTCGCATTGATGCAAAGTGGCTTGGCTACCTTTCAAGATAGCGCTTGGAGCTGTAAAATGGAGTATTCTGTCTTGACTACTTTGCTAGGTTGAGCACTGTTATTTTCAGGCAGTTGATATAACTCTGTCAAGGGAGTTAAATTTACTCCACACAATGGAGTAACTTTAAAGGGAGTTAAACAAGGTTAAATCTACTCCGTAATGAGAGTAAAGTTAACTACACTTGGATAATTTTAACTCCACCTGAAGTGGTTAAAGTTACTCCTAAAAAGGAGTCATCCTGTACTTTTTTTAAATCCACTATTGGAGTTAATGGATTTTTCATAAAACTGTAAAAAAGATAACAAGTTTTAGCTAGCAGATTAAAACTGATCAGTGTTGTTGATAAAGTTTCTTAAAACTAAATCAATATCATATTAATTGTCAGTTAAAGTTGTTTTTGTCATTTTCTACAATTGTGGTTGTCATTTACGTTGAATTTAAAATAATGAAAATTTTGAATAAAACTTTAATAAAACTTCCTGGTAATTATTGCACAGTCCCTAAATAGGCTCATGGCTTTCATTCGATTTTAGAAAGCAAATGTTGAGGGCGAGTATGTCAAGCACAAATTAGGTAGCTCTTCTTGGTGCCTCTTCCAATTTTTTCTCACTTCTTCCTACTCTTGGGCTTTCCATTCCCTACGTTGCTCGGCCAATATTGCAAATTTAAACTGCCCGCACAGTATTCACATTCATAATTTCAATTCTAACCAGAGGAAAACAATGATTACGTATGCAATCTATGATTTCCCCGATCTTTGGACAGCTAAATGCAAATACTCAACTGCTGGTTTCTATGATTCACTCCAAGGGCTCATGCAGTCCTTGCCGGGCAATCTCCCGGATTAACTCTCTAAAAATCAGGTGATTTTTGTCCCTGACATCAAGCTGCGTCACTTTCGGTTTTGAATGGGAAGTGTGTCCAGAACCCGGAAAATACTTGCACGAAATGATCATTGCTCATAAAATTGTTGAACTAGACTAATCTTATAATATATACCAAGAAATTTAAACGGCAAATCGTACAAAAAAAGAAAATTCTGATTGCACCGCACTGCAGGTGCACCACGGGAAGATCTCGTGATAGGCAAGGGATCGAATATTATTAATTAAATGTTTAGAAAATGCCTTCTATCGATTGAATTTTAATATCGTAAAAAAACTGTTCTGAAAACAGTTTTATTATTTACTTTCTTTCAATATATCTTGTTTCCTTTTTCCATGAAACGCTTTCTTCCGCCATTCTCTCTGATATTTACCAATTGCCCAGATTATGATCATGGAAAATAGATCACTCATCGATAACTCTATAATTACAGCATTCAATTTTACCGAAATTTGAAGAACAAGTGCCATCATTAATTAATAGCTAATAATGACTATGCTAGAAATTGTGATCTAGAAGAAGTGTATATAGTGACGTGGCCTTAATGATAGGAATAATAAAACACTCTCACTAAACTTGTAAAGAAACTGTGCGCGTAGTAACTATAATAAAGTGTCATATTGCTGTGAAATGATCAAAAAGATTTGAAAATAGGATATTAAGTTTAATTACTTACATTGGAAGTTTAGTGTTCCTTTCTCAGATGAAAGTGAAATATCACACACGGAAGTGCTAGATATATCAGACATATGTACATGCGTGACAAAGGTCAGTCACAGCGTAAGACTATCTCATTTGAGTTTTAGTCTTATTATTCTGGGCCTCCCTTCCATCGAAAAACAGATTTTAAGACAATACTTCATTTAATGATAAACTTGTTCATCTGAAAGTGATTTTCAGTTTTGCCTTTGAGATAAATTCGGATTTTACATAACAACATTTTCCGATTTTATCAAAAGATTTGTTTGACCTTGTTTATTGGAGATGGGCTTCCTGTGTATTGCATCATCAGCTCAGTTTCGCGGGAAAACTGGAACTACTTATCGGTATCATGTGACTGTTTGCAGTATGATGGGCCATCCTAGACTGATCCTAGAGGAACGTGTTGGGTTTCACACTTTCAGTGACTGTCTGGTGTTGTAAAGTAAATATTTTGAGAAAAACATAAGTAAGTTTATGATTAAGGTGTTAGTTTTGACTGTACCTCACAATTTGCGTGGTTTGGCGCGGGATTACGAATATGCGACACACACGAGTATGCTTTTACAATATGTCAAATGGCGTACATGCCATGTCATTTTGAGAGAAACTATAGCTATAACTCACGACATATTTTCAGAAATGTTATCAAATATATCGACAATTTAATTTTTTGTCGTCATGTACATTGTAAAGTACATTTTCTTTCGCAAATCCGAAATAAGAATCGAACGTAAGCCTTGTAATTCTATAATTCGTCAAGTTCATCAGCGGAAGATATATGGAAACAACTAGCTTTCTTTTGATAAATATCAAATTAACTTAATATTTATAGACTGTCTCGCTTTATACTTGATCGTTATTAGCTGTTGTTTTTGTTATCATCTCCCGTTCTTTCTTAAGTGCAATTTTTCAATAAATTCTTATATTTCTTTTTTTTTCTTTATTTAGCTGGTGTAAAAATGTCCCGTGTACAAATTATAAAGGAGATGCTTGCCGATGAAGACTTCAAAATGATTTTGATAAAGAAGTTGTATGGCGAAGAAGATGACCAAGCTGGTGTACTAGCAGCAAACCCTGGTCCTCATCTTGAAAAGGATCTTAAAGCATTGTCTGAGCAGGAGTTTGAAGAATTGAAACTTCAATTCACAAATATCTCTTCAGTTATGGCCAGAAGGGTGTGTGAAGGCGACGATGGTGATAAAGATGGTATTCCTGAAAATTCTGAGACACCAGAGATTAAAAGTGAACAAGGGCTGGAACTTGAGCAAAATAACAACTTGGCTGTTCTGGAGGAACCAGAAACTGTCAGTGATGAAATCAACGCCATCTACCAAGATAGGTCAAGTTTAAGCCCAGGTAATGGTCCTCTCAATACTCCCTCTCCAGATCCAACAAATGAGGAGGATCATGAATCACTATCAGAGTCCGGTGAAGATGATGAGCTTTCTGTCAGCCCTGGTAGGGATTGCCCTGCTGATCATGTCCAGCAAGAAGATAGGCTTTCTAATGAAAGTGATGACAATGATCCCAATGCAATCTTGTCACCTCTCGTGGCTTCGCCTGAACCACCTGGCCGATATCCTGTGCAAGAAAGCTGGAATTTTAATGAAGTGTCCAATCATGGACCAAGCCAAAGAAGATGCCAGGTAAGAAGTTTAGAAGTCATTGATATTTGTAGGGGCTAATCAATCTGAACCAAGCAATAAAACTATTACAAGTAGTGCATGCATGTATTTTGGAACTTTTCATGGCTATAAATTACAAGGCTATATTTTGTACAACTTTCATGGCATTTTTTGTACATTTGCCACAATTCATTAACATGTCTGAATTCTTATTAGTAATTAATAAAATTCTTATAGTATATTACTAACAATATTATCTATTATATTAATTTTATTATTAAATGTATTGAGTCAAGGCCTAAAACGGCATTTAATTATAATTTTTTATTTTTTCATTAGCCACACCAGTGTGTTCCAGCTGAGATAAAATGCCAGCATTGCCAATATCCTATGGATGTACCATTGATTAATGTAAGTATACAGGAGCCAGTAGTACAAATGGTGCAGTATGGGCTTGGACTCGGTTAATTAGGTTCAATAAAGTTTTGCACTGGATAATATTCAGTGGGTTAATTTTGCATGGATTTGATCTTCTCTGGATCTTCTTTGATCATAACCCCTACAATATAATTGTAGTTGTAATAGACACAAAAAATCATGAACAAAACATAGTATTATGAACATGATAAAATATTGAGGAAATATATCAAACAACAAATTAATAAGCATAAAAGAATAATGTTGATTTGGTTGTTGTGGTACTTTATATCTTTCAAGGAGGTTTTCAAGGAGAATGCTAAATTTAGAAGAGAAAGAAATGAACTTGAAAGGCAATTATCAGAGGCCCAAGATCAAATAGTGGAACTACAACTAGTGAGTATAAAATAAATACATGTATTTATAAACCATTGACATGGGGTTATGATCATCAACTCTGAACGTACCTGCTAAAAAACATGTCAATAGCATGATTGAATGTTACGAGTAATCATCAATCAGTCCCAGAAGTATATATATGTTCTTTCAAACCACATAAATATATATTTTGGATCCAAACAGCACAAACACAAACTGATGAAAGCTATAAAAAGCTGCAATTAAGAACGTCATCTGGCAAGTTGTACATTTTAACTTTTATTATTTAATAGCATTGCAGCAGGGAAAAACACTGGGTGACATTACCATTGGACTACCAGCAACAGGGACAGGTCCATAACATTCAAACTGAAAAAAATGGATCCCACTATCACCCTTAAACCTCAACTATCTGAGATTTTGAGATTTTTTCTACATTTCTCTTATTTCAGTCTCAAGAGATAACACAATATCGCTACGAAAATGTTAGTAGGATTATGTGGCAATTTCATGAGGTAATTTTATCGTCTCGATCATCTGAAGCTAGAAGTTTTAATTCACCAAGAATGATCCTGGTTTATGCTGTTAACATCTACCAAGTAGAGCAAATGCAGGAAAATCATGGAATAAAATCAAACTAAATACTAACAAATTGCTGCTATTTAGAGACAGTTTGTCAGTATCAATGAAACAGAACACAATGAAGATGAATCCACATGGGACCATTTATAATTCATCTTTATTGCATTCTGGTTTGTTGATACTGATAAATTGTCTCTAAATAGACGCTATTTGTTAGTATTTAGTTTGATTTTATTTCATGGTTTTCCTGCGTTGGCTCTATAATTTACATGCTGTATATATTTTATTATGCCTGTATTTCTGGTGAGAAATATCAACTAACTAAGGTGCTTTAAATTGTTTTTTTTAGACATTGCAAGAAAGAAAGAGAAACATTGACAGCCTGCGACAAGAGTTGACAGAATTAAGCAATGAACATGAGATTCAGAAAAACAGATGTGAAGCCAATGAAACTTCATATCAGGTTTATGTCATATTTATGAATTTTAGTTAAAATAATGATTACTTTATTCTATTGCGTTACTCTTTGGACTGAACAACATTGGACATGTATTCCACCATGCAGTGAATTAAACCATAGCTTAAGAATGTACGAGCTGTCAACGCCAGGCAAATATTTCAAATCTTGATATTGTTAAATTTCCAGTTTTGCTTTAATTTTCAAAGTGTCTCACCAAAAGAAAAAGAAAAAACAGTCACAGTCGACCATCACTATCACAAATCCTTTCTTTTGTAAATATATACTATAAAGAATGTGAGTTTTGACATTTATTTCATACTTGATTCAGTTTTCTTTGTTATTCATAGTGTTGTATCTCGCTTATTCCCCAGCTCGCTGCGTATTCAAGTGCTTTATATCGAAGTTTCAGGGATATATCTAGATATTTCCCCCATTTGAGGGATGTATCTATATATTGCCCTTGGATACTAATGTATATTGCCCTTGAATACCTAATTAACTACTACGTTCAACTTAGAAATTTTCCGTCTGAAACTTTAAACTTGAAAGAAAGAAAGAAAAAATCAAATGACACCAAGTAGATTCGAACCCACAACCTTAGCTTTGAAAATCCTATACTTWACACGTTATGCTAACTGACTAATCGATGTCAGTTACGGAATAAAACAGTTATTTAACATTGTCCAGTTGGGTCATTCCACCATTACGGACATTACATCCAGAGGCCATTTTACAATTTGTTCTTTGTGCTCTTTCAAGACAAACAATTATAATGTTTTGCTCTATTTGCTAGATTGTACCTAGGGCATGTCTCTTTCAATTCATAGAAGAACAAAATGACAAGACTCTACCAGATAGCTAATATATTACTTTCAAATTGCRTTACGGACATTACAGCTAAAACAACCACTGTTCAAAGTTTATGATTTCAAGTTCCAATTCCTCTGAATTCAATYGGTTCTCAAGTCAATGACTAYTTTGTTATGATGGACTATGAGTAGAAGTTTTGTAAGATTATTGAACTTTACAGTTCTTTACATTTYTAACCTMGTAATTTCTGAAAGTATTGTGTTACRGACATTACATAATATGTTACGGACATTACACTTTCTGAAATACATGGAATCAGACCTAAAAAAATTGTATGTTTTCCTTCAATCATGCAATAAAACCACCATATATAAGATAATTATGCACAATTCTAAAGGACATGGTCAGTGTCCAGGGGTGGCGGAGCCAAAATTTTCTTGGGGGGACACAATCATAACTTATAGTGATGACGTCACATGAACTTTTGCAAATGCATTTTATAATGAAAAAGAAAATGAATTATTGAATATTTTGAGCTGTTATGCCGTTATGTGGAGG